TATTCTCTTGATTTGAGTGGGTATATATGAATGTTTGCAGATGAACTAAGCTTTACATTTAAAATATGAAAAAACCCAACTCTATTATTTTATTTTTAAAGTGCATGATATGTAATAATCTTGTTTTAAAGTTAAAAACTTTTTATTAAAGTCCTTTTTAAAAATTGTGATAATATGGCCTGATGTTTTGCCTTCTAGGGTGCAGTGGGTAGCGCTGTTGCCTTGCAACAAGAAGGTTCCAGGTTCAATTCCCAGGCTAGAGTCTTTCTGCAGGGACTTTGCATGTTCTCCCTGTGTATGCGTGGGTTCTCTCCGGATACTCCGGCTTCCTCCCGCAGTCCAAACCCCAGTTGGGACGAAGAATGGCGGAAAAAATTGTAAATTTGTCCCTCTGTGCTTTTATTTAAAATGTTTAACAGTGCAGTTGTCATAAAAAGGTCATCTATATCACTCGTGTCTTTTTAGATTTACTGTAATGGTCCCTCACAGGGAGCATCACAGCAAATCAATAATTACATCTATGAGATGCTTTAGATACATTTTTTTTCCAAATTTAATAAAAAATTTGCATTTTAAACAGTTCATCGGTGCCTGGTAGAGGCCATTAAAGATGTTATGCTATAAAGCAGGTCATACACACTCCCGTTTGTTTTTTAAAAATATAAATATAAAAAATATAACCGCGGATGTCTGGGAGACAGTGATTCGCCTACATGTTATCAATGCTGGCGTACCATAATGAATAAATTATGAACAGTTTAGTTTGTGCCTTCAAGTCGTTGCCCATAGGAAGACGTTACTTGGATATAACCTAATGGAATATCTTCAGAACAGCTCCAAATGACACAAAACTCATATGGGTGAGTAGAACAGGATGTAATAACGTAAAATCAAGGGCCCGATGTAAAAAAAAAAAAGGCGTTCCCCTTTAAGTAGTATAGAAAACATGACATGTTCTGACTTAACTTTCAGGCCCACACGCAGAATAAAGGTTAGGGTTAGGGTTCTTTACAAGGAAAATGAGTAACAGACAATTCTTGGTCCTTCAGGAGTGTGGAGGAGGTTAAGTGAACGGTGGTGTCTGGAATGAGAGTGGAACTAATAGTGGCCAGAAACTTTTGAATAGGAATTAATAAAAGTAAGCTTAGTAAGCTCCTCTCACTGTCGCTACAAGCATGCTTAGTGTGAGGGATTGCATTTGAATCAATGAGTCAATGCAATCAACTGGTTTTCCTTAGATAGAAAACTTTGAATCAATTTGACTGTATGATCTGGTGAACTGTAAACGGCCTTGAGATTACATGTATTGTGAATTGGTGCTATATAAATAAACTGAATTGAATTGAACTACTGAATGACTCTGAGTGTGGGGTGGAGAGAAGATGGACAGGTCCCGTATGGAGAAAGGTTGAAGATATTCCTTTGTTAGTGCAAGGTGAGTGGTAATACAGAGAACCAGGAGTCTGATGGAGCCAGGCAGGAAATTATGAACGGCGGAGCGGGCAGCAAGGTAACATGCAGGAAAATCCACAGGAGGTGACTCAGAGGAACTGATTCTTTCTTAAAATCCAACAAGAGAAAACCTGGAGACAGCAAACACAAGGGCTGAGCTACTTCTGGCAAATTCACAGGAGATAGCAAACAACTACTGAAGTTACAACAACAGATGGCCAGAGAGGCTACCAGTAAACTGTGTAGGCTACCTAGGTACTCCACCAAGATCCTCTCTGTAAAAGATGCATCCCTCACACTCAAACACACACACATGCACAAACGGGAAACCTGACACTAGCCCCCCATTAAAGACAGCCCAGTCAGGATGAAGATGACCCATGAGAGGCCTTAAAATCTCTAATGAGATCAGGGTCTGGAATGGACTGGTTTAATGAGAGAGACATGAAATACAGGGTGGATCTTCAACCCATCAGGAAGCTTGAGGTGTATGGCTAAAGGACTGAGAATACAGGTTATTTTAAAGGGACTAATAAAGTGAGGGGACAGTTTACGATTTGATGATCTGAGATTGATGCCACTAGTGGAAAGCCAAACTTCTTATCTAGGTGAGTTTCAAGGTGCAGAGGCACATCTAGGGATGTCCGGTTGAGGGCAGCATTGGTTGGTGTCCTGATGTGTCTGCAATGGAGGAGATGATAGTGGACAGGGGTTACAGATGTTTGTTGTTCATCATATGGGAATAGAGTGAGCTGGTAAACTAGAGATGACTCAAAAGGCTGTTGTGGGCGTACTCCACCCAAGATAACCCTCAGTTCAGGGATGAAACCCTGAACTAAGGGTTATCTTTACTCCAAGAGCGGTGCCGAACTCCTTCCAGACCGCAAAAACAAACTGTGGATCTCTTTCTGACAGGATATCGGTGGGCATACCATGCAGACGAAACCCATGTTTGGTTAAAAGATGAGCAGTTTGCATGGCAGTGGGAATTTTGTGTAAGGGAACAAGATGGCAAGCCTTAGAGAAACTATCAATTATACTTAATATGTTGGTGAAGCCCTTTGAATGTGGTAGTCCAGTAACAAAGTGTAACGCTATATGTGACCAAGGACGTTGGGGAACTGGAAGAGGTTGAAGTAACCCACTAGGGGGGTGATTGTGGGTCTTATTGCAAGAACAAATGGGGTAAGCGAGCACATAGTCTGTGATATCTTTAAATGAAGATGGGCACCAAAAGATTCTTCCGATTAAAAAGACTGTTCTGTTTATGCCTGGATGACATGAAAATTTTTCTGCATGGGCCCAATGAATGAGACAAGCTCTAATGGATGATGGAAAATAGAGGCAGTTGGATGGTCTATTAACAGGATCGGGTTCGGTCTGTTGAGCTACCAGTACCTGGTCTCTTATTTTCCAAGAAGGAGTTCCGATAACACATGATGATGGAATGATGGTAGATGTATCATGATTAGGGGAAAACTGTCTCAAAAGCGTGTCTAGTTTGGTTTTCCTGGACCCTGGCCTGTAAGAAATTGTAAAGTTGAACCTGGAGAACATGAGGGACCAGCGAGACTATCTGGAATTCCATTTCTTGGCTTGCTGCAGGTAGGCAAGATTTTTGTGATCTGTGCAGACAACAATGGGATTTTCGGCCCCCCACTAACCAGTGACGTCATTCATCAAAGCCATCTTAATGCCCTCTCGATCGTCTACATCACAGGTGGGCCATTGTTTGGTTGGAAAGAAAACCTGCAGCCACACGGTCCTTTTTGGAACCAGTTTCACATCCCCGGTCTACATCATAGTTTCTCTCTGCTGGTGATAGGCAACCAGAAATAAATGCACAAGGGTACAGTTTGTCATCAGTGGAAGAAATCTGTGACAGCATTGCCCCTACCCCTGAATCAAAGGCATCCACTTCAACAATTAACTGTTTTGATCGATCTGGTTGAATAAGGATGGGTGCAGTGGCAAATCTCTTCTTTAATTCTAAGACACTTTTTTCTGCTTTGTTCCAACTGAAACTAGTTTTTGGTGGACATGAGGCTGGTAAGGGGATGAATAGTTTGGCTGTAGTTTGGTGGTAAACATTTGCTAACCCCAGAAACCTTGAATTTGCACTTTTTCTCTTACACCTAACTTGGTTGTCGGCTGCATATTTAGCATACCTTCCCTGGAAATGCCTTTCTAAATAACTCTTTTTATTTTTTTGACAACCTCTCATTACAAANTATGCAAAACGGGCTCGAAGCTTATTAGCCCACTATAAAAAAGGACTACCTGGGCTTAAATATATAATAAGCCTTCATGAATAAATGTTTATCCTGAAACAAATGTCACATAGTAGCATGAGGTGAGGGAAGAGCAGTGAATGCCCTCAACATCCGGAATTTACTGCACGCCACTTCTCCGCCCTTCACCACGCGGTTTGTATGTATTAGGTTTTGTTGCATTGATAAAATTATAGAAACACG